AGATCTACTACATATATATCTACTATATATATCCATATCTTCAGAAAAAAATCACTTCTACTGTCATGGTAAACAATCTGTTTCCATATTTATAATGGTCTGGCCCTCTAGCATCTTCAGCATGAAATTATAGCTGATTTGCTTACAAATGTCAGGTGGTCATAATAATCTGGCCACTCAGTGTATATGGCTTCAGCCTCTACTCCTGGGCTATGCCTGTTTCCTGAGATTCCTCTTTCTATTCCTGGGAAACAGAACATGCCAAGATATCTCAAAAGTCTTTAGCTCATGAACTACCATGAGACTGAACAAAGTGAAAGAGCAAAGGGGAGGGAGAGGTAAAAAGGGATGGAAACGCAAAAAGAAACAGCTATAGGAGAAGCAGTTGAGTCAAAAAGTACAAACTCTATCATTCTATCACTTAGTTTCTGTGTTGATAAAAGCAAGAATCACTATGATTAAAACCTTATTTATAATATTTATTAAACAGTACAAGTAATTGAACAGTTCGATGTAATACATCTGTCCCAGTTTAGTTTTACCTAAGCATCTGCCATACAATGCATGCTTCTGAGGTTAAAGGCTTTTTAAAAGAGTGATAGTTCTTGGTAAATAACTACTAGTATATAACATACCTAAAGAAGGGCAAACTAAGCAAAGAAAAAAATTATCATAGCAAAACCTTACTTAACTAGAATGCTAAGGGACAGAATATTTTTATTAGCTGAAAGTTAAGCAGAAAACTCTTTTTGTTTCCAAAACTTGCTGACGACCATTCTAAAACGCATAAACCTATTATTCAGGTTGTATATTAGCTTATTAAGAACTTTTACTTCAATACTTAATTGATTTACTAAAACAACTAGAACATCAGAGTACAGATGACACTTCAGGTGGGTTTGTACAGATGGGTTTGAACTGTGCAGGTCCACTTATATGTGGATTTTTTTATCAATAAATACTGTAAATGTATTTTCTTTTCCTTATGGTTTTCGTAACATTTTTTTCTCTAGCTTACTTTATTGTAAGAATACAGTATATAATACATATAACATGCAAATTATGTGTTAATCAACTCTTCATATTATCTGTAAAGCTTCTGGTCAACAATAGGCTATTAGCAATTAAGTTTGGGGGGAGTTAAAAGTCATATACATGGGCCCTAACTGGTTTGGCTCAGTGGATAGAGTGTCGGCCTGCGGATTCAAGGGTCCCAGGTTTGATTCCGGTCAAGGGCATGTACCTTGGCTGCGGGCACATCCCCAGTAGGGGGAGTGCAGGAGGCAGCTGATCGATGTTTCTAACTCTCTATCCCTCTCCCTTCCTCTCTGTAAAAAATCAATAAAATATTTTTTTTAAAAAGTCATATACATGGATTTTCAAGTGCATGGAGTAGGGGTGGTCAGCACCCTCTACCCCCCATGTTTTCAAATCATAAAATACGAGAAACAGAAAGTACTGAAGTCTTTGGGCCTAATGAACTTTGACTCCAGACGCTGCTTCGGAAGTTAATCTTTTACACACTATATAAATCATTTGCATTTCCATATAAGAAAAAAGTTACTTATAGGTTTACCTTTAGCATGGCTAAGTACATTATACGCACTTAAGGTATTTCTATGTTAACTAAGTTACATGTGCATTACAACCTTGCATTATAATTCATAGAGCCAATAAATTGGCTATTAGGAAGTATAATTAAATTATATTGAAAATATGGCATACAATACCATTTTTACCTTTGGATTGTGTATTTGAAGCTGATGCGTTATCTGGCTGATGTGGAAGAGAGTGGTGATGTTGGAGTTGATGGAGTAGATCAGAACCTTTGGAACTGAATGAAATCTCTGGCGTATAAGACGATAAGGGATACCCACTCTGAGACAGTTGTTCCTGGGAAGTTAAAATGCTGGTAGATCCAGAGGATGAAGTATCAGAGCCAATAATCTGAGCTGCACAAGAGTTTCCATTTTGAAACAGTGTGTCTTGTAAAGTATTCCTACTGGAATTAAGACATCGAGATCTAGCAAGAGAAGAATATATTTCAATATCATATAATGCATGCAGAATTAAATTCATTTGAAATATGTTTTGTGACTCACAGGTGTAAAGGAAAATGTGTGGTGGGTTTGGCTACAGAAAACTGTTTCCCTGTGACCATCTGTAGCAACTGTCTGTAAATCTCTCTTTCTTCTTCTTGAACTGTCTGTAAAAGAAAAAGAAAAATCTTAAACACATTCAATGAGGCCAGTGTTTCTCAAAGTAGCATCTAGATTCCCAGAAGACTTGCCAAAGCTCAGGCAGAGTCCTCAAGGTAATTAAGAATTATGGTTGACTAAGGATATTCTAGAAAATGATATAATACATATAAGAGGAGTTTAGTGAAATAAATTCCAGATAGTATAGTTCAGAGAATTGTGGGGCATATATGTAAATAATAGTGCAAAAAAGCTATAGAATATGAAACCAGAAGGCCAAAAGGCAACTATTTCTGAGTCCACTGATAGAGTCCCAGAAATAAAACATTTGAGGACCTCTAAATTAAGATTCTAACAAAACCCTTGGTTCTTGATACCTGCTAGAAAAATCACAAGGAAGTGATCAGAACAGTCAAGATCTGAGTGAAATAACTTTCTAACAACTTTCTACTCTGTTAAATTTTTAAGAATGCTTTTTCTGAAGATGGTTTTCATCTCCAACACATATTTATTTATTTTTCTTAACTCCAAAAACTTAGGGAAAGCACATGCTCCGTAAGATTCATTCATTTATTTATTGACTTAAATACGAACTATGCTCCAGTCAGTAGAGTTATTGCACTGAAAAAGATAAAGTTCCTGCTCTTATGGGGTTTACCTTACAGTTAAAGGATTGAGAAACAAAACATTAGTCAGATAGTATGAACAAAATTAAAGATAAGAAAATAATAGAAAGTGATGGAGGGGCAACACTGAGAACAGGTAAGACTGCTCTTAAACTGTGATATTTCAACAAAAACCTAAATCAAGGGAGAAAGTCAAAGAAATTTATAAGAGTATTCCATACAAAGGAATAGCAAATTC